TATAAGGAAAAGTGTAGTTTTTGACTTAAGATTGTAACTCTTTTCTCTCTATTGTGATAGAAGGATGCACCCCTCTACTTGCAACATATATTAAAGTACTTTGATTGGGCTAAATTCTGTAGTTTTTTTCCCTTTCAAGGAGTTTTTCACGTAAAAATTCTGGCTTCTCCCATTATTTCATTTCATTATCTCTGTGTGTTGAATTCTCATATAATGCTAAAACAATAAATTACTATTCTATTTATGTGAATTTCTTGCAAACAACAAACATATTTGAAAAAAAATTATGAATGATATCCCAAACTCATGCATAACGATAAAGAACTTTCCCATAAAAGGATATTTATTAGGGGAACAAAGAATGTTAATTTTTCTTTAGTAAACACACATAATGGAAGTCTTTCCATGTTAGGTTGTAGGTAATTTACAAACTAGGTTGAACTGATGAGGTTTTGACCTTCCAAGGCTTACTATAAAATCAAAAATGTGCATTTCGTTCAATAAAACTATAATGCTTAATATGCATTAATAAAATAATAATGTGAAATGAAAAAAATGTTATGCAATTAAATTGTGATAAAAAATATTCTCCACATAAAAGAAGAATTATAATAAAAAGAATATTGTCTGTCCATAAAACAATGAAAAATTAATGGAGAAAAAGAAGAAAAGAGGAAAGATAAGGGTGAAAGAAAGAGTAGAGGCCATAAATGTTATTCATAGACACAATGGACCTAATTTTTTCTTGGAGGTATGGTTACAACCATACTTAAGAATGATATTTGACAACTTGCTAGTTATTGCGTTTGAACTCATTGTTCCTCCAGTGAGAGCATTTTCCACGCAAGCTTGTAAAAAAGTCCGTGTATTGAACCTTGAAGACATCAACCTCCTAAAATGGTTAAGGAAGAATCTCAGGATTATTTGCAGAGTAGCCCCCATTCTGGAAGCAATAACCTAGGAATTGATGTCCAAATGAAATATGGGAAGACTGCCCTATCACAGTCTTGCCTGAGGCAATAACATAAACGACCTTTTTAGAATACAGTGAAGGTTGCTCCCCCAGCCTGGAAGAAGTTGTAAAAGACTTCTATCTCAATAAGTTGTGAGGAGGAAACCCCATAACAATTGTGCTCGAGATATTGATGTGAACGACCTTTCGAGATTGCAGTGAAGGATATCCCTCACATTGAAAAATGCTTCCATGATGATCTTCAAGATGCAAAGGAGGCTCTTTTTTTAGTTGGATGATGTACATCATTGGGAAACGAAGTAGGGACTTAGTTTCTCAGGGTTGAAGACATTGTTGAACATAAATTTGTTCACACAGACGTCGCCAAATTGATGCATGCTAGAAGATTCATAGTGATAGAGTGATTGATTAATATCTTAGCAATGCATGAAAAAAACTAGCACATACTCAGGTAATTAAAGAGGAGGCGACAAATTGAATTTTTACTTCAAAACCCCTTGAAAGGGGAAAAAACACTAGACCTAGCCCAGTTGAATAATCCACTATGAACGGTGAGTACGCAGATTTACACTTATCATAAATTAGAGAAGATGAAAATACAAAGTTATACAGATCTACACTTAATCATAAATTAGAGAAGATGAAAATACAAAGTTATACCTCTATAAATTGGTTGTAGTTCTTGGCAACAACAAGCTGCAAGGGCCATAGTTGATTGCACGGAGGTAATAGTCTGTCAGGAGTGTTGTGGACAGTAGTTGAGCGCCAGCTTATCATAGAAGTTATAGTTGAAAACCATGACAGTTGTTGGCAGGTGGGTCATAGATGGTTGGTTCAGAAGTGTCGGTTGGCCATTGAGGCTATAGTAGGGAGTTGGGAGCTGTGGATCATGTAGGTTGTATAGACCATAATGGAGAGTTGCGATGACGTTTGTTGGACGCAGGGGCTAGAGTTAGGAGCCACATAGGCTATGAACCACTTAGGCCGTAGTTGTGAGCTGTAAGGTCATTCGTAGGCTGAGAATACCGAAGTTGGGCGCTGCATGAGCATATGTGAGATGCGTTATTATACCGTCTTTGGGTGCGCTGTTGCATCGTCTTTGGGGTGCGTTGTTGTACCATATTTGTGGTGCATTGTTGCACCATCTTTGAGGCTAGTCCCGTGTTCGGTATGATGCACCACTTCGCAGGTTGCTTTGTGACTCCACAACGTTAATTGTTGCTTTACACATTTTTTCGTCGCAAGGAGTGAGAGGCAACTGATGGTGATCGACAGTGACCGAAGATTGGTGGCCAACAATGGTTGGCGGTTATCAATGTCTACAAGAGTGATGCTAGACTTTATCTCCTTCTCTTCCCTTCAAGCTCTCTCTTTAAGCTTCAAGCTCTCCTCCCGCTCATGAGAAGGGTTGGGCTCTATCTATATAGTCTTAGTTGCAAATAATGAAGGAATATGAATTACTCTGATCGAACTACCTAAAGAGGTTCCCTCGATCATACGTTGTTTGATGGATATTTGAAGGCCTTAATGATGATAGAGTTGAGCTATCATTAGACTCGTTGGATTCTTCTTGTCGAGATGCTCGAGTTGACTATGGGCTCACTCAATTCAGATTTTGTTTTATCTTCCAAATATGCCCCAAAAGCTTCCAAAAGAGGTTTAATGTCTTGATCTATGGTTGATTTTGACTCGAATTGGACCAATTTTGATATCATTGGGTCCATCTCATCGAGTCATTCAGTTTGACTGTAAGTTTGTTGAAATCTGGGTGAACGACTCTTAATCAAAGTTTGAAAAATTATTGCTTAAAATATTATCTTCATATTTGTGCCATGACTCAAGAGTCATGCCAGATATTGAAAATTTGTCGATGGCATACCTTCCCAAATTTGTCGATGCCGTACCTTCCCCTCTCTCTCTCTCTCTCTGTATATATATAGTAATCTATCTTTCTATATTTTAAGCATAGCTCAAAAATCAACATTTGCATAGAGAGAAAAAAAATGATGTAATGTTAACCAATTATTTTCATTTTTTTAAAAATAAAGTTGCTAATTTCAATTAAAAAATCAATCTTTTGTTATGAATTGAATTAAATTTATTTCTGAGCTTATTCTTTCAACCTTTAAATGGGCTGGTCTCCCATCCAGCCTGCTCCATTTAAGTTGAAGGTTCGTTGGTCTGATCCACCATAACACACTTAATTGACAACCCCAGCATGTCATTTATTGTTATTAAACAAACAATTAGCT